TCACCGGGCTTTAAACCCAACATGGTTCCAACAAAGCTATGCACTTTTGCATAGTCCGGTTTTTTCGGTAACATCGCATAATCTATGCGGAATGTGTTCGCGCGACGCGCCATCGTGGAGTCGTAGTACGTGGGAAAACGCTACGGCTCGGCGATGGAAAAACGCAGCGCGACAAACGATATATAGCTTGAGATCGACTTCCAGAAATAGCGATAGCGTAAGTACGTCTGCTTGGCTCGGAAGTTGAGCGCGAACTATCTGTTCCGAATGTCTATTTCCAGTGGCATATTTCCATCTTGCTGGAAATTTGCGCACATGTTTCCCGTCCACAAAAAAGGAAGGAAACGAGCTGTGGATAACTATCGAGGAATTACATCGTTAAGTGCCGTTTCGAAGCTATCCGAGCTAGTGATTATGGAACCGTTGCTGTCCCATTGCAAGCAGTATTTGAGTGCTGATCAACATGGGTTTACTGTCGGCCGCTCTACAACCACCAATCTGCTGTATCTCACATCGTATATAACCGAAAGCATGTCGGATCGGGTTCAAACGGACGTTATTTATTCAGTCCTATCCGCAGCATTCGACAAGTTGAACCATGCTATTGCGATTGCTAAACTCGGCAGGCTCGGTGTATGCGGTAATCTTCTGAGTTGGTTTCGATCATATCTTACCAGTCGCCAACTGAAGGTTGCCATAGGAGATTACAGATCAGCTAGCTTCTTCACCACAGGGAAGCCACATGGGACCGTTGATTTTTATACTGTACTTCAACGACGTGCATCTGGTCATCGAAGCTCGTCGGTTATCATATGCAGATGACTTCAAAATCTTCCTACGAATCTGCTCCATTGCTGAGTGTCACTTTCTTCAACGTCAGCTGAATGTATTCGCTAGTTGGTGCATTTTTTTTTTTTTTTTTTTTTTTTCTTTATTATAGAGATTTTTAGCCTGAGGCTAGTTCATCTCTTAAACTAGTTGGTGCAGTTTAAACAGAATGGTATTAAACCCAGCCAAATGCTCCGCTATTACGTTCTCACGAAAACAACAACCGATAATATTTAGCTATGACCTGCTTGGCTCAACAATCGAACGCGTGAATCACATGAAAGACTTGGGTGTGATCTTGGATTGGCAGCTTTCATTCCAGCAACACATTGCATATGTTGTCGATAAGGCGTCAAGAACTTTAGGGTTCATTTTTAGGATAGCTAAAAACTTCACTGATATCTACTGTCTAAAATCTCTCTATTGTTCGCTTGTTCGATCGACGCTTGAGTATTGTTCAGCGGTTTGGAACCCAAACTACAACAACGGTGCCGAGAGAATTGAATCTGTTCAACGTCGTTTTCTTCGTTTTGCGTTGCGTAGATTGCCTTGGAATGACCCGTTTCGATTACCCAGCTACGAATGCCGTTGTCAACTTATCAACCTAGAACTTCTCCGGACTAGAAGAGACACAAGCAGAGCCCTAACCGTGGCCGATATCCTGCAAGGAAGGACAGATTGCGAGGCTATCGTGAGGCAAACTGACTTGAATCTTCAACCCCGACCGCTTCGTAATAACCTTGTGCTAAGGGCCGGCGCACAATGCATACGTTTTCGGGTTTTTTGACAGATAATTATTATTATTATTATTATCTCTATTTAGGAGATTTTCAGCCGCAGGCTGGTTCATCTCCGGGAGCCCCAGAAGGGGGCTTCCCTAATAACATAGTTGAGATTTTGGAGAACCCAGAAGGGGTTCTCCTATAGGTTGGTGGAGCTCCAGAAGGGAGTCCCCTTAGTACAGAGTATTTTTAAACAGAGTTCATTATAGTTCCTGTCTTGGTTCTTAGCGTGGTTGGCGGATCATGGTGTGAATGGCGGTGGTCGTTGTCGAAGGCAGTCAGGTAATCGTCATGTGATATCCAGGCTTACTCCAGTGGTGTCCATGTTCGAAGTGTAGTCATTTTGTATATATTGATTATATTTTATAGAACAGTCCAGCATCTTTTAGGAAAACTATTAGGGCTGCTTCCGTGGACGGGTCGTTAGAGAGGGCGTTACGTATGCTGTTCGGTATTCCATGGAGGAGCCGGATGTTATGGAAGCAGGGACATTTAACAATCAGGTGTTCGACTGTCATAATCGTGTTGCAGGAGTCGCAAAACTTCCGAAAAGAGGCAGCACTACCCATGTTGTGGGTCACTCGGGTGTGTCCGGATCGAAGCCGGGATAAGACCTGTTGTTCCCATCGGCTCGTAATGTCATTCCATTTGGAGGTGTCGCCCTTTATTTTTCTCAGGAACGGTCCCTTGTTTGCGAACCACTCCCGGGCCCAGGCGTCTCGGAGGGATGCTTTCACCCATTTTTTTACGTCCTGACTGGGTACAACTGTGGTGGCCATCCGGCCGGAGCGACCTGTGGCAGCGAGATGATCTGCTTCACAGTTGCCCCGGATACCGCAATGGCCGGGTACCTGGATCCCTTGTATCCAGGGGTGTCTGGATGTTGCTGAATTCAAGGCGTATAAAACGCTGGCGGAGTCTGTTAGGACACATATGGGTTTATTGGCGGGTGTCGTGGTGGCGAAGTGGATGGCCGCAGCCTCCGCCGAGAAGACGGAGCACTGATCGGGTAGTCGAAAGAAGTAGCTATTGGATACATCCGCTACTCCGAATCCGACCTTCCCCACGGCCTTAAAGCCGTCCGTGTAACGGTGTTGAAAATTTGCGTATTTAGTTCTCAGCAGCTCCGCTACGTGGGCCTGCATGGCACGGGAGTTGTTACCTGCCTTGAAGCGCTTGGCAATTGAAAGATCAACGCGTATGGTTAGTTCTGTCCATCCTCTGGCTCCGTTCCAGTATACCCTGGACACGGGTGGGAGCTCCTGATGGACCAAGTTTCCGAGAGCTCTTTCCCCTCCCTGAGGAGAAAGACCTCGTGGTTCCCGGTGGTCTTTTCCAGGTAGCTGGTCGTTCTGCAGCTCAGCGTTTCGGCGACTTGGTATTGAAACGGTAGTACACCGAGTTCGACGCATGCCGATTCAGCCGGTGTTGATGGCCGAAGTCCTGCGACGATTCTGATTGTCTGGTTATACGTTGGGGCTAGTCGTGTGGTAAGAGAGTCGTTGGAAAGGCAGAACAGTTCGATCCCGTAGAATAATCTACTGTTTACAGTGGCTTTGGCCACTTTTAGTAGAATCTCTCTGTTACTGCTCCGGTGTGGTTTGGAAAGTGTCCGGTTTAGCCGCGTGCGGCAGTTGGCTTTGATTTCAAAGCAGTTGGGATTTGACAGATAATCCCCCCTATTCTGCGAGTCACGTGACTCTCTCTCACCGCTGAGGTGACAATAGTCACCTCGTGTGAGGTGACTCTCCATTTGATTTGCAAAGAGTGAGAGAGTCACGTGACTCGCAGAATAAGGGGGAATATATGGGCTAACCTTTAGAAAAAAAACCTGAAAACGTATCTACTGTGCGCCGGCCTGCCTCTACGTTGCACAAATTATGGAGCAAACGGTGCGATTTGCGGACTGCAGAGAACATTCAACAGAGTTGCATCTGTTTTCGACTTTCAGCTCTCCCGTGATGCGCTTCGTCGAAAGTTTTCTTCTGTTTTCGCCGGCAGGAGTAACTGACTATAAGATAGGGGATGTAATGCCGGCCTAAGTGTCCCTAATTTGGGCCTATACATAAATTCAGCAATCGACTAAATTTTCAATAGCGACCAAAAATATCCATTCGTACCGTCCCAATGACGCATTCATCTAGATAAAATTGATAAATAGCAGATTTTTAGAGATGGGCCCAATCTTAGATCCATCGGCCAACATTAGAGCCGTTTCCCCTATATGTTTCTTATGTTATGACCATGCTTGAATGTATTTTTTTAACTATAGTTCATAAGGTTAACATCATTGGGGCTTCATCCAGCCTGTTGATGTAAAACAACAATAAAACAAAACAATGACTTATGCGGTATAAAAACCCTACAACAGCGAATCAAAACGAAATTTTGCCTTAAATTCTATAGAAAATTCTTGATTTTTTCACCATATTGTAAACGTGTGGTTCTGTAAAACCCTATGATTTTTTTTTGCATAATTTACTTCAAAATTTTCCGTAACATAAATTTAGCTCTGACCTATTTTTGTCTAAACGATACGAAACGAAATTTTCAATTTTTGGTAATAACAATAAGAAATAGCAAATATAATATTCAATTGTGAGATATTGCCCGCAAAACCATTTTCCGCATGTTGAAATTCCACAATTCTGCTGTTTTCGTAGCCAAAACCCAAAAGTTCCGTGAGATTGCGTACAATTCTAGATAGAGCTGGAATTAGGGCGTAACAACCTTTGTAAACAATATGTCTTCTATCGATGATTTCTAGGAACTCAAGGCACGCAAACCAACACAACTGTCGGGTAGGGGAAGTCTTCCTCTACCAGATGGTATTGTTGATTTGCGTTGGCGAGCCTTTACTTTCTAGAAATCATCAAAAGAAGTCATTGTTTACAAAAGCTGTTACGCCCTAATTCCAGCTCTATCTAGAGTTCCGCATACCCTTACCTTACTACCCAAGAAGAAAAGCAGTCTTATAATAAACCATAAAAGACGGGAAATCTAATGTTTTTTTTTTCAAATTTACCAACGATAAATAATACCTTAGCTCAGTCGGTAAAGCCGCAGCTACAAAGCAAGACCATGCTGGAGGTGGCTGGGTTCAATTCCCGGTCCGGTCAAGGAATTTTTCGGGTTGGAAAATTTCTCGATTTCCCTGGGCATAGAAGTATGATTGGACTTGCCACACAATTATACCAATGCAAAAATGGTACAGGCATCGAAAGCTCTAAATTAATAACTGTGGAAGTGCATCTAGATCACTAAGTTGAGAGCACGCAATAAGCTAATATGCGATATGCAATAAGCTTGAAATGCGAAGAAGAAGAAGAAGAAATAATACTAATAACAGTGTAAATTGGAGCATTTCTTTCGCAACAAATGTAAACAGTAAATACTTTTCACCCACATGTTCTAGACACGTATTTGTATACGAAGAAAACTTACTCACTAACCTTTATCCTAGTCCATCTCTACTTGGGTGACGTCGAAATCGTCATCATCTCCCCATTCGGACATTGCCTGCGAGCGTGGTTGGGTTTTGGTCTGCGTTTTCACCTGACTAACCATCATCAGACTCTCGGGTTTGCTTCCTTCCTTCGCATCCGTTTCCTTGCCTTCCATCAACTGCCACAGATCATCGTCGTCATCTGCCTGCATTGTAGTCGTATCGTGATTGTTACGAACCACCATAGACGATGAATCTTGACTACCACCGAATGTGCGACGGTTTCCACCTTGGTGCTTGACCTTGGGAGCTCGTGCCCCCATTGTAATTTGACTGTGCTCAAAGTACTGATTGGGATGGCTGATCCCTTCCTCCAATTTACTACTGTGCGAAATTTCAAAATACTTTCCGCAAGCAATTTGATAATGGCCTTTGCTTACGAAGCTAACGATTTCTTCTGCGTGGGCAACACTCAAACCGTACGAGCTCAGTTTAGTTTTCAATACGGACGGTTCCCAAATTTTGAACGGACAACCGTGGGTATCCTGAGGTCCAACACTCGATGTTATAATCTTCATACAGGAATATGGTGTATAACTGATTCGAGAGCCTTCCTTCCCGTAGTTGTGTCTGATATTATAGGCGTAATCCTTTTCAAACTTCTCCAGAGTAACGGTTCCACGGGTAAACTCTTCTCGCCAGAAGCGTAACGAATCCTCCAAAGTTACTCCTATCCCTTTCAAAAACAAACCGTACTGCATACGTCCACCATGCTTCAGATGATGCTTCGATCGGACCGTATCATGGCAGTAACGCATACAAAGAGGATACGATTTTTTAGACAACTGATCCAAACTTTCAACCGGAACATCTCCTGCTTTTGCAATCGTATAATCTTTACCCGTGTACGATGTATGCAGTCCCTTGAGTAAAGCGGCGAACCTTTCATCATTTTCCAACTCCGGAAGAAGGCGTAAATGAGCCTGCAACCCATCTTCCATCAGTTGCTGATGTTTATTGGCGATAATCGAAACGAAATCGCTGGCACACACATAAGCAAAACCTCCCTTCAGGTAACACTTTCGACCACGAACCAAATCCAGAACATCGGTGAAACGTACTTTGTAGAAATCCATTGCTTCAATCTGAACAATACTCTGATAAACGGTACTCTCGTATAGACCATCTTTGATCTCATTTTTCTGATCCGGGTTTAACGGTGTGTAGCCCATTTCATACTTTAGCACAAATTCTTTCACGTCTTGCGGTGATAGTCCACCGAACTTCAGCCGGAACAGTTCCATTTCCCTGGCAATATACCACCTGTGTATAATATTTAAGTTTAACAAAAAAAACCACCAAAAGAATTTAAATTTTAAACGTACCTTCTCAATTCCTCCGAGCGACAGTAAGCAAATCGTAGTATAAAATGCGACAGGTAATCCTTCCTTCTAGCAGAAATATCCTGTTCTTTGGCGTGATTGCCCTGACACAATCGCACGTAGTGTTTCAATCCGGCATGGTTCAACTCGTTGAATATGGTTTCACGCCATTCGTCCGACATGAGTTTCAAGTTCTTGGCAGCTGCCTGTTCAAAGATACGCAGCACTTTCAATCGTTCCAAGGCCAGCGATTCGAACTCCGAGATGGACAAATCCACCATCGGTGGAATCGAATACAGCACTACGTTGTGCGGGATTAACCATTCCAGCACGGAATCTAGGCTAAATTGAGTTTCCGGCCTTAACCGGCTACGACGGGAAAACTCCATTTCCAATACGATCACTACTGTGTAACTTATTTTTTGTTGTTGAGAAAGGTTAATGCATAAAACACACAATAATTTTATCAGTTTTTGGGTGACGACGAACTAATCGCACTCGCGCTGAGTTCGCTTTGTTTATGCGGTTGGCGCCAAAGGTTTGTTTTGCTTCGCGCTGGCACAGCGGTTGAATTGTCGGCAATATCAGTGGCATTGATCAATCATGTAGAAATCATAAATACCGAACAGAATGTATAAAAACCTTTGCAGAGGTGGGAACTTGATGATGATCAATGAATGGATTACCGAGGTGAAGCAATCGATTAAGAGCAACCGTAACGGTACGCTGCTAAACTCATTTTAGCAGCCCTCATCATAGCGCAGCTACCGTATCGGGGGTTGCCATACGAGTAACTAAAATAGCAGTCGGCTTCTCGGTGAGAAGCGCGCTACCAAATTTAGCAGCGCGATAGCAGCGCGGGAGAAAGGTTCCTATTCGTAGAAATGTCAAAATGCTCACTACCGGTACGGACAAAGGCGAGTAAATTGATAACCGCGATAGCAGTGACCGGTGTGGAGAAGAGTGACTAAACTAAAATGAGAGCGCTGTGCGCTGTTAAAATAGTCGCGCAAATGACAACGACCGTTACGGTTGCTCTAAGTTGTGTGATTGAAACCTCTTTAAGATACAAGCAATTAGTGACGTCACTAATTGTGTTTACGTTGGTGTTTTGGTTTACTAATCCAACCATATTTCACGATCTGCTTTACCTCTCTCTGTACATCATTGGATGATGATAACTATACTGCCACTATTCGCATAACAGTCCCATGTCCTATGGATTTCCTATCTACATAGGACTGTTATGCAAATATAGTGGCAGTATACCACAGACAAACTGACATAACACATTGAATATTTCGCACTGTAAAAATTGTCGCTAAAACAATACCGCAAAGAAAAAAAAGTTGTTGAATATTACATCCAAACTGCTGCAACCAGGTCAATCCATCGGTTGTGTAATATAACGTTGTACCACAGACAAACAGACATAACACATTGAATATTTCTCACTGTAAAACATCGTCGCTAAAACATTACCGCCATCTGTTGAGTACACTGTGGTGGGTAGTACGATGAACAGATTGCGGTAGTGTGCAAACGTCAAACGCAAGGGAATTGACTATGCGTGCCACAGGTGGCGGTACTACCAACTATGCTACTTTTAAATTGACCGTTAAATGCTTGTTCGATGAACAACTTGCGAGTGTTATGTCTGTTTGTCTGTGGTTGTACGATGTACATCGATTTTGCGAACAAAATTACATCCATTAATGTAATATTGCTGATTGCATCTGAAACTGGACTGTCCCAAAAATGCAAAAAGTGTGATAGAAGTGCACATTTCCGTCAAATCGTTTTGATGTCTTGGGAGCACTTATTGCTTGCATCATAAGGAATAAGTGCACCGAAGACACCAAGACGATATGATGTAAACTTGCAATGTTATCACACTTTTTAATAAGTGAAAACGCGCTTATTAGTTCAATTTGGTGTGAAATGCGCAATATTGTATCTGCTTTTTACTATCCAGCTTTCCATGCTCGGTAATGGCGGCCTGTTTGTATGAATAAATGTATCCTTCACTGTGCTTTTTGACACTATCTGGATGTTCGAATTTCAACCCCTTCCCTTTCCCTCTCCCAGGAACAGAAGAAAATGGAACAACATACGCCCTCCAGTTAGTGTCAAAAAGCACAGTGAAGGATACATTTATTCATACAAACAGGCCGCCATTACCGAGCATGGAAAGCTTTTTTTTTTTATATATATCTTTATTAAGGAGACTTTCAGCCGTTGGCTGGCTCGTCTCCGAAAGGCATGGAAAGCTGGATTACATCATTATTTCATACATCAGCTTGAATAACATTGATCGATATTACATTTTTTTTTGCTGGGCACCATCTGTTGAGTACATTGTGATGGGTAGTACCATAGAGGTAACTCTAAGACCACTGGGTCCCGAAGAAAATCATTATTATTTTTGGCTCACTCAGTACCAGAACAACGGTCCCAAGCAGTCCCAAGCTATTTCACTCACCCCTGCATGTTCTGCATGAATCCACACACCCCTGATGTTATCTGTCAAACTTTCATAGCGAATCAAAACAAACATAGTGTAGTAATAGAATTTCAACTAGAATAGGGTACGTTAATCGTTTGCTTGGGACCAATAGGCTACTAAAGTGGTGAGCCAATTTAAAATCGTTAGTTTCGTATTGATTGTTGGTACTACCAACAATCAAAACGAAACTAACGATTTTAAATTGGCTCACCACTTTAGTAGCCTATTGGTCCCAAGCAAACGATTACCGTACCCTATTCTAGTCGAAATTCTAGTACTACGCAATGTTTGTTTTGATTCGCTATGAAAGTTTGACAGATAAAATGAGAGGTTATTGGTTTTTCCTATGTTTCGAGGGGTGATTCGACAAGCTTGGGACCGAAGATAGTACCAGAGGTGAGCCAAAAAGTTGAGCACGTTTCTTCGGGACCTACTTGTCTTAGAGTTATCTCTATGGTACTACCATAGATGTAACTCTAAGACTAGAAGGTCCCGAAATAACGTGCTCAACTTTTTGGCTCAGCTCTGGTACTCTCTTCGGTCCCAAGCTAATCGATTCACCCCTCGAAACATAGGAAAAACCAATAACCCCTCATTTTATCTGTCAAACTTTCATAGCAAATCAAAACAAACATTGCGTAGTACTAGAATTTCGACTAGAATGAGGTACGTTAATCGTTTGGACGAGGCTCGGTAGCTCAGTGGTTACCGTTTCTGCTTACTGAGCAGAAGGTCGGGAGTTCAATCCCAGGCCCGTCCCCTTCCTTGCAATTTTTCACTTTGCCTTATTCTATACCCACTAGATTTTAATGAAAACAAATTCTTCTTTAACACCGATCGCATCACTTACCACAGTGTGGGTCCTGATCTAAAAATAGAAATTGGATGAGAACGCGCGCGTGTGTGTGTGTGTGTGTGTTTGTGTATTATAATCGCTCTACCAAAAAACGATCCCTGCGTGTGCGTGCAACCTTTCCCCACATCCAACATCCCAGTGATTTCTCGTGGAAGCGCAGAGGATTTCTCGGTTTCCTTCACAGCGAGTACCACGTCAACACATTCCTTCCCATTCCCTAGTTGACCTGCATTCGGACACGGCCGGCGCTGGTATTGCTACATATTAGATCTCCAGTTCTTACACATTGAGGATGAATGTTAGTCCCAAACATCATCTGTTGGTTCTCTGTGTAATTGCAGCTGATCTGGTAATAACAGAGCAGCAACCGTGGGCGGTCAAGCTGATTTTTGATTTTTGATTTTTTTAGAATGGGGTACGTTAATCGTTTGCTTGGGACCAATAGGCTAGTCAAGTAGTGAGCCAATTTAAAATCGTTTGTTTCGTATTGATTGTTGGTACTACCATAGAGGTAACTCTAAGACAAGAAGGTCCCGAAGAAACGTGCTCAACTTTTTGGCTCAGCTCTGGTACTCTCTTCGGTCCCAAGCTAATTGATTCACCCCTCGAATCATAGGAAAATCAACTAACCCCTCATTTTATCTGTCAAACTTTCATAGCGAATCAAAACAAACATAGTGTAGTGCTAGAATTTTGACTAGAATGGGGTACGTAATCGATTTGCTTGGGACCAATAGGCTAGTCAAGTAGTGAGCCAATTTAAAATCGTTAGTTTCGTATTGATTGTTGGTACTACCAACTATTAAGAAACATTTGAATTAACCGTTAAATGCGTGTATGATGAACAACTTGTGAGTGTTATGTCTGTAGAGATGTCTGTTTATCGTGTTGATACCGTGGAGCCCCGGTAATCTGACCGTTTTTAATCTGCACACTTTTTAATTTGAACTCCGCTAATCTGCACGCCGTGCAAACTAAAAATTTTTCTAACGACATTCAGCACATGGAATGGAGGAAAGTAAAATGAAACATTGTGAAACGAAACGCAGTGTTGACGATATAATAATAGTATATTGAACAATCTTTACTTTTTACTGTCCCTTAAGATAACGGGTTCCGGAAAGAATTAATTAAGATTAAAAAAAAAATGATTCTACTGCAGGTTCAAAGAAGAATACTAAGAAGAAACAGTCGGAAGAAGAAAAAACTGTATATTTTAGTGTTTTCTTTGACCGTCCCTTTCATCTAATGAATACCCTCCGTATGCAAGGTATTTTTGAGGTTATGCTGCCCCCTCGGTACAGTTGAAATTTCGCGTTTTTTTTTTATCAAAACAAACTAACCAAAATCAGAGATGTCCCATTTTTTATTAACAACTAATCGATTATGCTTTGCTTGCTGTGCTGTCATTTTTCCACCAATTAGATTGTAGAACATGTTTGAAACGATGGGGGATGATCCTCTGGAGAAGTTAATGCTTATATCGGCATGATATAACCATAGAGGTAACTCTAAGACCACTGGGTCCCGAAGAAAATCATTATTATTTTTGGCTCACTCAGTACCAGAACAACGGTCCCAAGCAGTCCCAAGCTATTTCACTCACCCCTGCATGTTCTGCATGAATCCACACACCCCTGATGTTATCTGTCAAACTTTCATAGCGAATCAAAACAAACATAGTGTAGTAATAGAATTTCAACTAGAATAGGGTACGTTAATCGTTTGCTTGGGACCAATAGGCTACTAAAGTGGTGAGCCAATTTAAAATCGTTAGTTTCGTATTGATTGTTGATATAACCGATTACAAATATTTTACTTGGATTATTCGTATAAAAATAATCAGACATCACTATACTCATAAAATAAATCTCATAACCAGTGGAAAATATCCATGTGAATTTCACATAACTTTCATGTGATCTAATGATTGGAAATTTCACCACTAAATCACATGAACATTATATGTTTCCAATGAAATCTATATGATTTCTCAAATAGAATTTCTTATGATATTCACGAGGATCACGGAACCGAATTTTGTTCATTTAAATCAAAAATGTAAATGTTCATTCAATAAACATACGAATAATTCAAAATAAATTAAAAACATGTTTGCAACAAAAATATATATGTTCGAATTAAA